TATATATACTAGTTTATATTGTTGAGATGACTCTTTGTGCAAAAAATGTTCTTTGAAACTTTTCAAATTTAAAAAAATGAACTTGTTAAAATAAAAACGGGGCAAAAGAAACTTTCTTTAGAAAAACAAAAATTTTGTTGACAGTGACATCTTAAACCTATATATCAAGGGGCTGCAACTGTTGGCGACTAGTTGGAGACAAAATTACAAGAAAATGTCGATCTTGACCTCAAAACTCACAAATTAGTATTTTTATTAATATTAGCTTCAGTCGGTCATTCTTTATAGAACGTCTTTAGCTGCCTCACGTTTCTGACTCAAAGACTAAATTGAGAATAATTTGAGATGTGTTGTAGAAGCTTGCAATGACTCTGAAACTATTTGAGTAGAAAACTGGTTTTGAATCATTTTGTACACAAACACTTGCAAACCTTTCAAGATAGTTTGCAAATTCTGTTTGCAGTTTGTTGCTAATGACTGCAGTTTACTGAGATACAGCCTTGTGTTTCTGGGTGTTAATTTGATGGACTCTAAAAGTAAAAATTTATCCAGATTAATGCCAGGAGCCAGCAGATATTTTTAAGATTGATCCAGGGAGATCCTCTGATTGCTACAGGAAACACATACTGAACAGTAACATCACCTTCAGCTGCTAACACAGTTTGGACGTGAATTTAAAATTTCAATTTCAAATTTCTTTTTGTCGTAAAAAAATCCTGCAGAGAGCAGTGGTCCCACACAAAGCTGGACAGAACCGTTGTTGCTTTTGAGCAGCCTCCCCTCCCCATCCTCTGGAGATAATAATAATATAAACAAAACATGCCACATGAACACGGTTGTTTCACAAAGAGAGGTCACAGAGAACATAATACTGTCGGCTGAACTCGGACACGATCAGGCTCACGTCCCTGACCCGAGTGCAAGTTAGAAAAAAAAAAAGTCAGGGAGGTTTCTGAACGCACTCCGAGCAGGAGAGGGTTCTTCTGCGTGGACTTCCTGGCAGTTTGGGAGGCGGGGCTTAAGGAAGACGGTTCCTGCGGGACGTTGCTTTTCAGCACTGGCATTGTTCCTCTTTTATCCCCCGCACCCCGGTGGTTCCTCCCACACACACTCATGTCATGCTCTGATGTTCAGTGTCAGCTCTGAAGGGCGGAGGCGCCTCGTTAAATCAAAGTCCAACTGAAATATTCAAGGAAACGAGACGATGGGAAGTCCATCGTCACCACAAGATCTAACGTTCCCGGTGGTTTAAATACAGAAATGTTGTAGAGCTCAGTCACGGAAGCTCGAAGGAAAAATCTCTAAATATATATATATACACATACTGTATATATATATTTATACATATATATTATTGTATAGATAAACACACTTCTTAGAAACCGACACTTTTGGTCTCAGAACAACAACGAGAACATCTTCATCTTCAGCGTCAACGTCAGCCGTTTTAAAGAAGCCGAAAAGAATCACATAAAAAACATCAGTAACAGACGACCCGACTGCACACGGCGTCTTCAGTTCACATCATGTGCACGAGCGCGCACGTTTACACGCGCACGTTTGTGTTGCGTGTAGACAGTAGTAGTTTAGCAGCAAAATAATTCAACCTCAACCTCCAATAAATAAACAGTCTTCAAACGGATTCGACTCACAGTCACTCAGAGTGTGTTTGTGTGTGTGTGTTAATGTGTGTGTTAATGTGTGTGCGTGTGTGCAGGAGTGGGTCTGAGAGGAGTTGGGCTCATGCGAGATGCTGCTGGGAGGTGAAGAAGATCAGTCGACCATCCTCTTCGGGGAATGTTAGAAAAGCATGCTTTGCCTTCTGTTGATGCCGCCGTTACCTGAAAAACAGACAACTGTCTTAAACTACATTACCCACAATGCCTCAGGCCTCTGTTAGAGTTATTTAAATTACATTTTCAGAACTTACTCGTAGGTTTAAAAGCTAAAATAGATTTTTTAAGAGCATTTTAAAGTTTGGATAAACATCCCGGTCATGTTTATGAGAAAAACTAAAACAGGAGAAAATTTAGCATTTTTCTGTGAAAACTGTGCTGAATGATGGTCCTGCAGTTTCTGATGGAGCTGAAGCTAAGCTGTTTAAGCTGAAGGACGCAGAGGGCTAGCTGAAAGACAAAAGTATAAAAAAAGGTTAGCTGGATATAGAAAAATGTAGCTAATAAAAGCACCAATAACGTAGCCAGAAACTAAAAGAATAAAAAAGCTAGTTGTTAAAAGTAGCAAAAAGTCAGATAAAAGCTAAAGTATAAAAAATTAGCTAGAAGCTAAAAGTATCCTAAAGTTAGCTAGAAGGTAAAAGTATCATAAGGTTATCAAGAAGCTAAAAGTATCATAATGTTAGCTAGAAGCTAAAGTTATCATAAAGTTAGCTAGAAGGTAAAGTTTCATAAAGTTAGCTAGAAGCTAAAAGTATCATAAAGTTAACTAGAAGCTAAAGGTATCATAATGTTAGCTAGAAGCGAAAAGTATAAATTTAGCTAGAAGCTAAAAGCATCATAAAGTTAGCTAGAAGCTAAAAGCATCATAAAGTTAGCTAGAAGCTAAAAGTATCATAAAGTTAGCAAGAAGCTAAAGTTTCATAGTTAGCTAGAAGCTTAAGTTTCATAAAGTTAGCTAGAAGCTAAAAGTTTCATAAAGTTAGCTAGAAGGTAAACATATAAAGTTAGCTAGAAGGTAAACATATAAAGTTAGCTAGAAGCTAAAAGTTTCATAAAGTTAGCTAGAAGGTAAACGTATCAAAGTTAGCTATAAGGTAAACGTATCAAAGTTAGCTAGAAGGTAAACGTATCATAAAGTTAGCTAGAAGGTAAATGTATCAAAGTTAGCTAGAAGCTAAGAATATCATAAAGTTAGCTAGAAGCTAAAAGTATCATAAAGTTAGCTAGAAGGTAAACGTATCATAAAGTTAGCTAGAAGCTAAAAGTATCATAAAGTTAGCTAGAAGCTAAAAATATCAAGTTAGCTAGAAGGTAAACGTATCATAAAGTTAGCTAGAAGATAAAAGTATCATAAAGTTAGCTAGAAGCCAAWGTATCAAAGTTAGCTAGAAGCTAAAAGTATCATAAAGTTAGCTAGAAGCTAAAAGTATCAAAGTTAGCTAGAAGGTAAAAGTAGCAAAAGGCTAGCTGAATGCTAAAAGTAGCATAGGAAGAGAAAAACAGATTTGACAGATTTTAAGTGTTTCTGAGGGAACTGAAGACATTTCCATGTACTTCTGAGGAAAAYGTTAGAAAACAAAGTTCTTATCAGTTATTTAAAGAAGCCGTTTCTGTTTTTCTCTCTTCTGAAATAAAACTTTGGCTCTTTGGAGAGTTTTCTGGATGGGAGGCAGATGAAGCTGCCATGTGTGAGAAGTGCTCCAACTAATTCCTCTAATAAAGCGGGCAAACAGACCTGGTGGTCTCTGAGGACCCACCTGACTCGGGGTACGAGGAGTTCCTGTAGCCGGGGTCTCTCTGGAGCTGCACTTCTTTTAACGTGAATATGGACACATCTGAAACGAGACGAGCTTCAGCTTCGACACTACACAGGACGATGCTAATAAAGAGGACAGTCTGCGTGTCCACTCACTCTCAGGCAGAGCGTGGACTCTCATCCCGAGCTGCCTGAAGTAGGAATGTTTCATCGCCTCGTCGGCTGAAATCCTCGCCTTGGACTCGTACTGCGGAGGAGGGAAACAGGAAACATCAAACGACGAGCCGACAGAATCAAAGGTTTCACTCAGAACAAATAAAAACTGTGGATGTTTGAAGGAAAAAAAACAGGAAGAAGTGCGCCCCCTGCTGTCTCCCTGTGGTATTTATATTTATTGCATAAATAATCAGTGTTTAATTGTTTTTATGTATGATGTAATGTTTTATGTCATCATTTAAGAGTCGACGGATTCAACATGGCTGCCACAGATAAACTCACTCTGAGGAAAGACAGCAGCAGCTCGATGCCTTCACCGTCCAGCCTAAAGAGAAGAAGAGCCACAGTTTATTGYCTGCGAGGGTCCAGGAAGGAAGTGGACCGCCATCTCTAAAGCTCAGCAGGATTTCCTGTCTGCAGCACGCAGACTCAAAAACACTGTAAAAAAATGAGAGGTGGAGGGAACGGACGCTGAAACGATAAATATCAAAGTGGCTGCACCTCGGGGCGTGGTTGATCAGCGGCTGCAGTTTGTATTTGGGGAAGTTGTAGGATTTAAACTCCTCGATGGCGGAGATTCCCGGCCAGTTCTCCTCCGTGGGCGTGCCTGAGGAGAGACACGAACACAGACGAGTCAGACGAGTCGGCCGAGCTGCCGAGTCCATCTGAGAGGGTCCGGTGAAGAAGAGAGACTCACCCAGAAGCCTGAAAATGAGGTGGAGCTCATCTTCCACCGTGGAGCCCGGGAACAGAGGCCGACCTGCAGCCATCTCGTAGAAAATACAGCCCACACCCCTGCAGACACACACACACACACACACACACACACACACACACACACAC